TTTTATTTTGAGATAATTGTAGACTCACACACAGTTGTAGGAGAAAATACAGAGCGATTCCGTGCAGCCTTTATTCAGCTTCCTCCACTGGTAGCATCTTGCAAAACTACAGAGCAAGAGAACAACCAGAATACTGACATCAGTAGAGTCAAGTTACAGAACATCTTCATCACCACAAGGCTCTCTCTTGTTACCCATTTATCAGTCTCGCAGGGCGTTAACAGTTATCCTCTCCCTGGGAATTCCTTCTAGGGAGCTGACCTTGATTCTTTAATTAGCCTCAGTCCTAAGCCCAGGTACCTTGCACGGCTCTGAAAGAGTCATGCCACGTCCATGATGCTGTGACTCTGGTTCACCCTCTTATTTTCCACAGTAAAGTCCCATCTCCAATACTCATTCCACAGTTACATTTCTGAACAACAGAATGTACAGTAGAACCTCCTCTATCTCCTTCTCTTTCCTAGTTGATTTATCCCACTCAACTGGCTTTCCCAATTTCTTAAAAAAAATTTTTTCCCGCATGTTCAGACCTATTTCTTATTACCCTGCCACTCTCTTGGTCACTGGCTCCTCCTTCATTCATTTTTTTCCTAACATCTTTATTGGAGTATAATTGCTTTACAATGGTGCGTTAGTTTCCGCTTTATAACAAAGTGAATCAGCTATACATATACATATGTCCCCATATCTCCTCCCTACTTCCTACACGCTCTGGTATCAGATCCTTATTTTAATAACCCTTGAATGCTCTGATTTTTATCTGGTGTAGGAAGATAAGGCAGATGGATGAGAATAGCCTTCTCTGAATATTCAGAGAGCAAAGAAGGGATCCTAGCTTCAGATTTTCTGGTCAATCACTGAGCCAGTATTCCATTTAGGAGGGATTTAGAGGTAGCACCCTTTGAATGTGGAGTTAGAATATTAGTTAGTTTGGAAGATATGCTTGCTAGATTATCTAGTGTGAACATGTATCTGAGTGACTTGGGGGTTAGAGGAAGGATTGACTATAGTGATGTTAGCACTCCAAGCTACCTCTTGCGTCACCACTATTCCAAAGAAAAATATTAGAGAAGCATGACTGTAAATTTAAAAAAAAGGACACCAAGGAACACAAACCTGACCTCAGCAGCCTAGGGCACGAGTAGAGCTCAGGTAGAGAAGGAGGGGGAAGGAGTCAAAGTACCAGGAGGCCGTGGCGATGGCCATTTCTGCCAAGTGCTTCAAAGAATATAATCCAGTGTTTGTCCTGTAGTCGACACTCATAAGCATGTGCTGAATTGAAGAGGTGCAAGGTCTGAACCGATTGTTCAGTGAGGAATTAAAGACAGTAAACCAGTCATTACATAAAGGCAATTTTCTGTCTTCCCCTCTCCTCTGTAAACTCTACCTTGTATTCTTTGATACTGATTATTTGATATTATCCCACGAGTATCAAGCAGGCCGTCAGTTGCCCAGTGTACAAACATCAAGTCCAATGTAAAAAACATGATCCCATTTAGAAAGGAAAGAAGGAAGAAAAGGAGGGAATAAAGGAAATGAGGGGAAGGAAAGAAGGAAAGGAGAGCTTGGGCTGTCATTAGTGCTGTTCACCAACACTTCTGGTCTTTTCTTTACCAGCCACATGGTAGAATTATACTTCCTGACACCCTAGAAGTCAGCCACGTGTTTGGCCTGTAAAATGTGACAGATGAAGCACGTCACTTCTGGCAGCCAACGTTAAGAGCTAAGGTGTGATTCCCCACGCTGTTTCCCTCAGCTGTGGCAGCCCTGTTCCAGACCGGGAGGCTACACCCCTGGCCGAGAGTACGTAAGTCAGGCTCGGCTCCTGCCAACCCTGCAAGGACATTCTGTGTGAATGAGAAGGACATCTTCCCAGTTTTAAATGATAAAAAGCAGGGGTTGTGTGTTACTATAACATAACGTAGCCTGTCTGGAATGACAGAACGTAGTAAGTAACATAGTCTTTTGCAGTAGGATGGTAGGTGCTGCTTCTTTTCTTCTTTCTTATCTTTTTGTATTTTCTAATTTTTCAAATAATTTTTAAATCAATTTTGTACTCTTCTAGAATGGGTATATTTTTTGTAATAAGGAAATAAATTAATCTAAAATAAACTAGGGAAAAGATAATTTTTATAATTCAAAATTATATCTTTATTGATAAATGCATGAAATACACAGAAATTAATGCCACGTTCTTGAACCTGGGGTATGTTTTTGGAGCATACTCTTTAGTTACCAAGAACTCTGAAAAACAAAATGTCACACTGTCATGGAATCAAGGTTTACCATCTTGAGATAGGTCTGCTCCAGCCCCTAAGAAATGCACCTTCGTGAGGGTGGTGGACTCCTTTGGGGTCCTGGGAGACATTTGTGTGACAGACAACTTCCCATTTATCTGTGGTTTGCTAATGAGATCAGGCAAAATGACCAAGAATGATGGGCATTGCTTAAAAGAGCCCTCTGTTTTCTAATTTCCCCTTCCCTCATCTTTCCCTTTGCACAAACACACACACACACACACACACACACACACACACACACACACACACACACACACACACACACACACACACACACACACACACACACACACACACACACACACACACACACACACACACACACCATAATTAATAATGCAGTCAGGCTCATTCGAGGATAACCATACCATTTGCACATTGCCCTTATTACACAGGAGAGCCTTGTTACATGTGTTTATCTGCACATATTTGTTTGCTGACCTGAATGAGATCAGTAAGATCCCATATGCCCTCAAGATGGCAGACTCCAAGCCAGGGCCAACCCACAGACAACTGATGGGCATCAGCCCTGTTTTCTTTCAATCTCTTCTGACACAAATCGAAGACAGTGCTGTTGTCTTTGAGGACTGAGGAGTCTCTAGATATTTTGTAAAGGTTAATGTTTTCTTTGAGATTTTACCTAGTGCCTTTGCAGTAGTATTTACAGGGTTTTCTTCCACCTGACCAACCTAGAAATATATTATATAATAGACTCTCAATAGAAATAAAAACCCTCTTATTGGTCCTATTGAAAAGGATAGTAAAGCCCTGGTTTACAGATAAACTCTTTGCTCTTTTTCTCCTTCTACAGCCCCAGAACCCATGTTTAGTAAGACAATGAATTATAGTTATTTTTAGTTCTGGATAACAAGTTCAAAAGGCCCTAAAAGACTGAGGTTATTGCTTAGTGCTCACTGCAAAGGAAAACCTTCTGGGAAAGGTCTTGCTTTTTAAGAAACCAAAGAATTTTTAGATCCCAAACTGTCCCTGAAAGAGAAAAGAAAACCTTATTAAGAACTTCTAGTTTTCTAAATTTACATTTGGAATAGTGAGAGATGATGACAAATGTGCAAATTGGTATAAACGGTCTCTTCGCCCTTACTTGGTGGTTTCATTAAGTTTTTTTAAAAAATAGGATAAACAAAAGAAAAAATACACACCCCTCAAAACAAAGACCTTTTACTGAAATTGTCTAGTTTAACCTTCAAAATATTTAATTCCTTTGTACTCTGTAAAATGTCTAGATAGAGGCAAAATTATTGTTAAACTTTTTAAAGGTCAACCTTTAAGCCCAGGTCCATGTACTTACACTGGAAACTAGGTCTCAATGTAGAAGGTGCCCATGGAGCCTATAGACTCAAAGGGTTCTGAAAAAAGTTAATAACCCTCATTCTTGGTGACGAAAAAAAGACCCAGGCAGGTCATTTCATACACTGCAAGGAGCAGCTAGTGGCCTGAACTGTTAGCTCAGATGACGAGGCTCCTTCCGCTTTCATCCCATCTTGCTAACATTGTACAAAGATGTTTGGTGCGATGAAATTGATTGCCAGCGCACTTGGCAATTCGAATTGCATTAGATGTTCCTTCTTTTTTAATGCCATTAACCACACGAATGCAATCTTTGGAAGCCCTATATCAGGAACTCAGGACCTGGTGTCGTGGGACTAGCTCAGGTTTTATGGTCAAGGTCCCTTGTTCTGTGGATCTAATTAGCACGCAGAGCAGCTTCTCGGCTTCTAAAGTGTAAGCTTATGCCCTGAGCTGGATTCTAAAATTGAAAGCATTTTTTTTTTTTTTTTTGCTGTATGCGGGCCTCTCACTGTTGTGGCCTCTCCCGTTGCGGAGCACAGGCTCCGGACGCGCAGGCCCAGCGGCCACGGCTCACGGGCCCAGCCGCTCCACAGCATGTGGGATCTTCCCGGACCGGGTCACGAACCCGCGTCCCCTGCATCGGCAGGCGGACTCTCAACCACTGCGCCACCAGGGAAGCCCGAAAGCGTTTTTTTAAATGCTCTTATTTCCTGATATTTACAAAATGTGTTCATCTGTAGAAAAGGAGGACCTCAATTAGGGGAATCAACTAGCCCATCAATGAGCAAATGTCTGTCCCTGGGACCTACTGGGATCCCAGGTTGAAGTAAGGAGCCAGTTCTGAAATCTGTGAAAAGGAGCCACAGATGTTGGGTGCTGTCAGACTTTGGAGGATTTCAGAGAGCCCCATCTCTGAAGAGCCTTTGAAATCCTTTTCCAACCCCTCCCTACACAGCTTCAATCACCCAGAAAGTTGAGTTATTGTCATGATCACCCAGTGGAGAGGGCTGCAGCTGGAGAGCAGAGAATGAGGGTAAAGGGTAAAGAGAGCCATCTTGTAGGGCTCATGGGAACTGAAGCCTTGGTGCCCTGACACTACGATGAATCCCAACTCCTTCACTATCTGGGCTGCAAATGCTCTGGTGTCATGTCGGAGGCCATATAATTGTGACTTGGAAAAGACAGGCCTGATGTATGATTTCTCAGTTGTGGAGACTCAGGGGAAGAGGGAGGCAAGGGGAACAGAGAAGACCTTAATAGCTGGGAAGTAAGGGTGTTTCCTGTCTCTCCCTCCGCTAGCTGGTGCTTCAGTCTGAGAGAAGAAGCAGGCTGCTCCCCTGTAACCTGTGATGTGTGCTCATTGGTGTGCGTTTCTTTCTTTCCACCCAGGACAGCTTTCCTGCCCGCTTCGGAGGAGTCCATTTTGTCAACCAGCCCTGGTACATTCATGCCCTGTACACGCTCATCAAGCCATTCCTTAAAGACAAGACCAGGAAACGGGTAATGAAAACAAAAACCCAAAGGGGGGGGATTCAGAGGCACAATTACAAAGCCTGTTCTCTCCCTCTCTCTGTATTTTTCATTGTGTTTTTTCCTGCTTTTCTGTAGTCCCTGAGCATTTGAGCCTCAGCTGGAGTTTGCACATGGCCTGGATTTAATCAGTAATTTAGTAACTGAGTTATTTTACAGTCCGGGCGACAAACCAAAGGAAACATTGAAAGCATGCAAATACCAGATGCCCCTTTTACTGTAAATGCTTGTGGGAAATATGGAGTCAAGCAGCTTCCCGTTCATGGAATATTTTAAGAGCTAGCATTTTGTCCTGTGAATGTACTATTGCTATGAAGAATACTGATGATTTGTATTTTTCCCCATGGCTCTTGGGTCATAGCTGCCAGCTCCGTCACCTTTGAGACTGGGAAAGCATATTCTTCTTTGGAAATAACAGAGCTTGTAGGAAGAAGGCTTTTAAAATCTTGATCGCATCAGCTGATGACAGTTGGGAAGCCAGCCTCCTCCACCAGAGCTGGGTATTTTTTCATGGCATTCTGATTAGCTGAGAAACCGAACATTCTTTAAGCACTCGGAATCTCAGTTTCTTCATTTATAAAATGGAAAAACTAACACGCACATCACAGAGTGGTTGGAGTAATTTAATGAGACAGATAGCATAAAGCCATTCATGTAGTAGAGACTCCATGACACCAATCTCTCTTTCCCATTTAGCTCTCTTTTCTTGTAAGCTTTCCGATTTCAGCTATCACCTGGCTCAGGGACATCACCTCTTAAAGGAACCAGGGTCAGTCTTACAGTGCCTTACATAGGCCTCTATGCCCCAGGGACCCCGTGCTGGGGAAGAGCTCTGAGTATTCGGGGGGGTGGGGGAATGACGATGTGAAGGACACCCTCCCATACACACTCTGCAGGTTTCCTAACTCCTAGACCTCAGATGCTTCCAGATCCTTGGGAAACACTGCAGTAGGGTATGGGATACGGGGTAATTCCACTGTCCCCAAATGAGTGTGGAATTGGGAACTAGAATTCACCAGCCCCAAGAGGCAGAGACATTCTGGAACATTCTGCAATCTGTCTGGGGTTCACGACAGTGATACGGGCAGAGAAGTGCCCTAGACTGTCCCCAATGTGGCTTCATGCTTCCCACTGGCTTCATTTTCTACTTAAGAAGGATCCAGTGGGAATTCCTCCCACAAAGCAATCGACATTTGTGCTGTGCCATCGAAGGGGGTTTCTGGAGCTCTGGGTGCAGAACAGAATCTGACAGGTGGGGATTCCACCTCCTACCTGCTGATTTCCTCCACCCCACAGGACCCCCGGAGAGAGGGCCAGTTTCAACAGCGCTCCTTTTCCTCTAAGAACTGGAAGTGTTGCGTGGGTGGGTACCAGGGCCAGTATTTTGCTTCAGCTTTCCCATGCTTCAAATACTACAATTCCTCCAGTGAGACATTTTGCAAAAGCCAGAATATGGGAATTTCTTCAAAATATTCTTGTTAAAATTCAGTCATAGCCAACAATCCAGTGTCAGAAAATGTACACTGTTTTCTGAAGTGCTACAGTATTCTTGCGAAGAATTTTAACACTTAGCTTCTTGTCCCCTTCCTCTTTAAATGATGTCATTACATCACAAGTTAAAATCAGCACAACAGAACAAAGTAGCAAGTATTTATTATATACTTATATAGTACATTATAATAAACAGGCACACCTCGGAGATATCGCGGGTTCGGTTCCAGACCACCGCAAAAAGGCGAGTATTGTGATAAAGTAGTCTATTAAGTGTGCAGTAGCATTATGTCTAAAAAAATGTTCATACCTTACCTCTTACACTGTTGGTGGGAATGTAAATTGATACAGCCACTATGGAGAACAGTATGGAGGTTCCTTAAAAAACTAAAAATAGAGCTACCATACGACCCAGCAATCCCACTACTGGGCATATACCCTGAGAAAACCATAATTCAAAAAGAGTCATGTACCACAATGTTCACTGCCACTCTATTTACAATAGCCAGGACATGGAAGCAACCTAAGTGTCCATCAACAGATGAATGGATAAAGAAGATGTGGCACATATATACAATGGAATATTACTCAGCCATAAAAAGAAACGAAACTGAGTTATTTGTAGTGAGGTGGATGGACCTAGAGACTGTCATTCAGAGTGAAGTAAGTCAGAAAGAGAAAAACAAATACCATATGCTAACACGTATATATGGAATCAAAAAAAAAAAAAAAAAGGTTCTGAAGCACCTAGGGGCAGGGCAGGAATAAAGACGCAGACATAGAGAATGGACTTGAGGACACAGGGAGGGGGAAGGGTAAGCTGGAACGAAGTGAGAGAGTCGCATGGACATATATACACTACCAAACGTAAAACATCTAGCTAGTGGGAAGCAGCCGCATAGCACAGGGAGATCAGCTCGGTGCTTTGTGACCACCTAGAGTGGTGGGATAGGGAGGGTGGGAGGGAGACGCAAGAGGGAGGGGATATGGGGATATATGTATATGTATAGCTGATTCACTTTGTTATAAAGCAGAAACTAACACATCATTGTAAAGCAATTATACTCCAATAAAGATGTTAAAAATTATTAAACAAATTCCTCATTAACAGTCAGAAACTTTACATGTTCTTTTTGTTCTCCTTGAACTTGTGTTTCCATTATACTTCCCCCACCAAATCATAGCCTCATATAACATTTTTTTATACTGGAAAGCATTTTATCGGTCACCCTGTTACATTTCTTTGCAACAAAAATATGTATATAAATTTAAATTACTCTTTGATTACCCATGACCCTAATGCTTTAAGTATCAAAAATTTTTCTATTAAGTTGGGTAATCATTAAAAATGTTATTAATGCACAATTGTCCAAAACAACGTAAATATATTATAAATGTTAATAATTATTAAATTTTAAAAGTAAAAGTTTTCTTAAAAAATAGTTCATACCTTAATTAAAAATACAAAACAACAAAAAAAGTGTAATAGTTACATCGAAGATCACTGATCACAGATCACCATGACAAATATAATAATAATGAAAAAGTTTGAAATATTGAGAGAATTATCAAAATGTGACCCAGAGACACGAGGAGAGCAAACGCTGTTAGAAAAATGGCACCAACGGACTTGACGCCATGTGCTTGACGTAGGGTTGCCACAAACCTTCGATTTATAAAAAGCATGATACCCGTGAAGTGCAATAAAGCACAATAAACAAGGGATGCCTGTTGTATGTAGTATATAGCATAATATAATACTTATATGGTATAAGTATTTTAAAAATCACATTTACACTTCATCATGGTTAAGTATGGGTGTGTGTGTGCGTGTAATTGATGGCCCTATACTTGAGTACAATTTATGCGCATTAAGCCTGCCACATGAAGTGTGGGAACCGATGTCATTATACAGATGCCCTTTAGACAAACTTTCAGGAGTCAATTCCTAAATCGCAGGCAATGGTAATTATCAACTTGTGGCTTATCCACTTTATAGATTTGTTTGAAAATGTTGTTATTTGGGGGTGTTTTCTCCCTTGCTTGACGAATTTCCATCACCATCTATCATATGCTTAGAAGATGCAAACTTGTTTGTTGAGGGTCTTGGCAAATCCAGACAAAAATAGAAAATCGTTGCAAAAATATCTCACGGTAAATTCTCAGGTCCCAGTTTTCAGTTCCACTGACTAAGAATTCACTGAGCTTTTTCCTTGTGCCCACACCACCCTGGGAGCTAGGAGAGTATTAAAAGAGAAAGACGACACTGTCCCTTTTCCTGAGCATTTTTTTTTTTTGCTATGGGGAAGCAAGACATAAATGAACAAATCAGAAAAAACTAGAAGTCATCACACAATGAAGAGTTAATTTGGGGAAGAGGGGAGAACCAGAGTGGGTTGCCACTTGGTGTAGGCCTGGGAAGGATGGGGAGGGTTGAGGAGGGTCCACAGGGTACCCCGGGAGAGAACACAGCAATGTGGAGCTGTGTGTGAAGCATGACTCGATGCTTTCGGATGGTCTCTGCATCCCTACTCTTTTCCTCAGCAGGGATAATTAAGAGATGACGTCGTACGTGTAAATTTGGGCCATGGCCGAGTAATACCCCATTTGGTCATGAACTTCATTTCCAAGGACTATTAATTCAGGCCCTTTTCTGAGCCATAAATTAACATTTTATGCAGACTAAGCTACAGACACAAAATTGAATGCCTCTTTAAACCCCGTGATCACCAGCAGTGCATCCACTTTGTCATTGCTAAGATTGTGTATTAGATTAAATGCTTGGTCATAAGTTTTGGATGTTTTTCTTGCTAATTATTCTTTCTTTCCAGATTTTCCTGCATGGAAACAACTTAAACAGCCTCCACCAGCTAATACACCCTGAATTTTTGCCGTCTGAATTTGGAGGAACCCTTCCTCCTTATGACATGGGAACTTGGGCCCGGACGTTACTGGGTCCTGACTACAGCGATGAAAATGACTACACTCACACTTCCTATAATGCAATGCACGTGAAACACACATCCTCCAATCTGGAGAGAGAGTGCTCACCCAAGCCGATGAAGAGGTAAGGCCTGGGTTAGCAGAGCCTCCCAGTTAGAGGTCCAGGGGCGTTTTGGATTTGGGCCTATTGCGGGTTAAGTAATTGAAGACCTTTATGGGCACAGAACTTGAATAAAATAAACTGCAATACATTCTCAGCTGATTTCACCAGAACTGAAAGTAAATGGGGGATGGCTGGCCCAGAAATTCAGTTGTTCCCGTTGTATGAAAGAGGCAGTAAAAGGCTGGGACCTCATTCATGTTGTGATTACAGTCCTAGTCTCTACGGAATCTGTTAACTCACACAGAATGAAATGTGGGACCTTTGAGATACATTGAATGAAAAAGCAATCTGCTAGAAAACCTTTCTATCACTGAGGCATTTGGAACCATTTATTGAGCATTTACTTGGCCACAGTCACTGATTAGGCACTGGGAGTACAAAAGTGAATAAAGACATTAAAAACAAAAAAACCGAGAAGAGGGCCCTGGGAAAATCTGCCAAGTAGGACTTCTAGCAACCAATTTCTAATGTGAGTGGTGTTTGAGCTGGGCTCTGAAGGATGAAAATCAGTAGGCCAGTCTTCAAAAGGAGGAAAAGACAAGACAGACAGAGGCCTGGAGGCAGCGGAGGGATGGGATATTCTGGTGTGGTGTTGCAAAGAGGCGTGTGAGGGTCAGGGGTGAGAGTGGGAATAATGTTCCAAAGATGGTCGGATGCAGGTGCGGAAGTATGTTGCATACTGTGTTCAATGGAGAGCCATGAAGGAGGGTTTTTTAAAAACTGATGTACAAATAACGTACGAAATGTATAAAAAGTAAAACTTTATTTTACTCCTTCAATCACTATTCCCCGATACCAACCCCTCCCCAAAGGAGGGATCAGACCGGGGTGGGCCCTTCCATTCTCTTTTCCATATATTACACACATCTATACACATCCAGAGAAAATATCTAATACCGGGTATTGTGTAGCCTAGTTTGATAGGGCTGCTGTAACAAAGTCCCATAGACTAGGACAGATTAGGTGCCTTAAATAATAGAAATATATTTTCTCATATTTCTGGAGGCTAGAAGTCCAAGATCAAGGTGTCTGCAAGGTTGGTGCCCTCCGACGCCTCTCTCCTTGGCTTGTAGATGGCCATCTCCTCTCTGTGTCTTCACATGGTCTCTTCGTGAGTGTCTGTATCCTAATCTCCTCTTCTTATAAGGACACCAGCCATATTGGCTTAGGGCCCACCTCATTTTATCTTAATTAACCTCTTTAAAGACGCTATCTCCAAATATAGTCACAGTCTGAGGTACTAGGGGTTAGGACTTCAACATGAATTTGAGAAGGGGACGCAGCTCATCTCATAACATGTCATTATGTAACATCTTTCCACGTCAGTAAATCTAGGTGTATCTTATATTTTCAGTGCTGTGTAGTGTTCCAGAACATGGATATATCACAGTGTAGCCATTTCCCCGTTGATGGGCAGTTAGGTTTTTGCTCTGTTCTAAATGGGGCGCAATGAACCTTTTGAACCTTTTTGATGTGCCTCCTTCATTCTCAGGAGAAAGTTCCTCTGGGTAGACTTGGAGCCCTGAGGCTGCTGGGGCAGAGGACTGTGCATCTTAAATTTCAGCCCACACTGCCTAGATACCCTCCAAAATGACCCTCCTCCCACCAGGAGTATGTAAGAATCTCTCTCCCAGATCCGTGAAAAGTGCTTGATATTATCAGACTTCATTTTTTTCTCTTGAGATATAATCGACATACAGCGCTGTATAAATTCAAGGTATACAACGTAATGATTTGACTTACACACGTGATGAAATGATTATCACAATAAGTTTAGTGAACATCTATCACTTCACATAGATACAAAATTAAAGAAATAGAAAAAATTTTTGTTCCTTGTAATGAGAACTCAAGATTTAAGATTTACTCTATTAACTTTCACGTATAACATAACAGTTTTAATTATATTAATCATGTTGTACATACATTACATCCCTAGTACTTATTTTTCTTATAACTGGAAGTTTGTACCTTTTGACCACCTTCGTCCAGTTTCCCCCCCGCCCACCCCTGCCCCTGGTAACCATAAATCAGATCTCCTTTTCTATGAGTTTGGTTGTTTCTATCCTTATTAGATTATAATTGCTTTACAATGTTGTGTTAGTTTCCGCTGCACAACAAACTGAATCAGCTCTATGTATACCTATATCCCGTCCCTTGTGGGCCTTCCTCCTACCCTCCTCATCCCACCCCTCTAGGTCAGTTTTAACCATAATCCTGATGGTGGGACAACCGTACGTATTTTTGTTTTCATCTGTATTTTCCCACCAGACATAGTTAAGCACAGTTACAGTCTGGGGTTTGTAAGGATCGTGGAATTATCAGAGAAAAGGAGACTAAAAGCCATCAGCAGCTGATGTGGGGGCTCAGGTGGGAAGATGAGAGGCCAGAACGGACAATGAAGGGGTGGAAGAACAGCTGAATTCTGGAGACGTTTGGGGAAGGAGGAGTGTCACTGTCGAAGCCTCCTTTGGGTCGCTGGGCTCATGTTGATGTCCTGAACTGACACAGTGTCCAGGAGGGGGAGAAGCTCTGCATTTCCTGCTCAGTCAGGATTATTACACTCAAATGTCTGGAACACCTCTCTGCTGGGACGGGAGGGACCTGGAAATTCATTTACTCCCCAGGTTACTAGTCAACATTCTCTGGGAAGTGGTGGTCGTGGTGGCTGAGAGGTTGGCTTTGTGCCTCAACAGGGAAGGGACTGACTTAGCAGCCCGCGTCCTGACCTACTCTCAGTCCAGATGACAGCACAGTAACAACTGTAACGACAACTCACACTCTTGACACTGTTCTGAGCCCTTTAGCTCATTAAACTCTTTAAATCCTCAGCACAACTGTATGAGAAAGGTATTGTCATTATTATCATTTTACAAATGAGGAAACTGAGACACAGAGAGGTTAAGCAACTGCCCGAGCTCACACAGCTAGTAAATGGCCAAGCTGGGACTCAGACCCAGGAACGCTGGCTCCGGGCTCTGGGTTCGTGTCCTCTATAAGATATGGCATGCTGCCTGCTTTTCCTTGTACTTTCTATTCTCAACTCCAGGGCCAGCCTTCTCTCTCCAACCCCTCCATGGACAGGAATAGTGACATCTCACGTGGCCTGTCCCTACCCTATCTCTTTTGGATACGGCCATCATACCTTCCTATGTCTGAACTTCCAAAGTCAAGTGGCATGAAATAGGAATTTGCCACTCTTTCCCCAGATGATTATATAGTTATAGAGTTACACCTTTTTTGGGTGACTAGACACGTCCCGACTCCAAGTTCCACCTCTGAATTAATGTTGAGGATCAGAGGAGGTGACAGCCTCCCTTATCAGCCAGTGAATTCTGGAGGGTAAAGGCTTTGTCTAACTAACTCTTGTTCACCTCACTCGCTCCCCAAGAATCCAACTCCACGTCCGACACACAGCAGACACGCAGCAGACACACAGCAGACACACAGCAGACACGCTTCTCTATGTGCTCTGCACGCTCTACACGCTCGCTGCATTTCAACCTTGAGTGAAAGCTGACACCTCACAAACCCAACCTTGGTGCACTTGCCCAATTGCTTCAAACAAATTGTCAGCTCCCAGACGGAAAGAGCTAATTCTCCTGCTTTACCAAGACTCTCCTGGATCTTGCCTCTTAGGATCTTATAGGGGAGATAAGATGTCCGCACAAATAACTATATTTAGGGGCAGAATGGGAGAGCTACTGTGAAGGAGGTGTTAGACCTGCTGCAGTGCTCTGAGGACGCATTCACTAATTTCAACCAGAAGACAGAGAAGTCTTCATGAAGGAAAGCAAAGCTGACCCAGGTTTTGGAGATGATAAAATATCAGAGTCAACATCCAGGACTATGCCAGAGTAGCTAGCAATTGCATATGCATCTCATTACCCCAACCAGTCCTGCTTTCCTTGGCATCCTCGAGTCTTTGCTTGGGGATTTCAGGCAGCAGCAGGATGGGCAGCGACAGCCTGGTGCCAGCAGTAACGCCAGCAAGGAGGGACCACTCCTGCTATTGGGCTGTGCCTGCCGTCAGATGTCTCACAGACAGAGCTCTGTGATGAACGAGAAGATTACAGGGACAGAACAGTCACCATTCGGAGCATCTTTTGACCTGTAAGGACCCAGAGGGGGTGAGAAAATTGGACAGAATCGGAGGAGACTTTGAAGGTCACCTCTTCCAGCCCCCACCCCATACGGTGGCCTGTTCTCCAGCGCAGCCTGTCAGGCAGCCCCAAGTTGCACCATCCAGAGGCGGGCAGGCAGCTTATGGGGCAGCGTGTGCCCTGCTGCATGGCTTCAGGACGTGCCTCCTTATTCTGAGCCAGATGACCTGGGTCTGACCTCTGCAACAGCGCTGTCAATTCCAGTGGGTAGACGATGCCCGTAGTCCCAATCCTGCCATAGTTTCCAACAGTCTTCAGACCCATTTGGAACCAAATGGGCTTTTGTGACTGTCCTTGGGACCTAATCACTTTTCATAATGTGGCTCAGGAGCACAAATTGCCTCAGTTCCAGGTGGCTCGGAACAATGCATTCTGGCATAGGCGCAGAGTAAAATCCAAGATGTGTGATGTTCTCAGTGAATGAGTGGTTCTAACAGCGCTTCCCCCCCGCCCCCAGGTAATTTTGGTTCAACCCTTGAGCACAGAAACTTAAAAAAATTATTAGTTTAGTTGAAAATTTCTCTATACTACTTATTTCTATATTGGTCAGTTCTTTGATATGATAATGCCTTTGTGGGCTGAGTGTGTGACATTGTCTACTCTAATACTAGATGACCCTGAGTTTTGTATTTTTAACTTCTTGTTTCCGTTTTTTATTTTATTTGTTATAGTCACTGTCCTTGCTCTCAGGCCATCGGCTGCCACTTTGTGTTCTTGGGACTGTGTAGGTCTGAAGCACCTTACTTCCTCCTAATCTGCTACTGGAATATGTTTAAGGTCTGGAAAGTAGGTAGCCAA